ATTCCTTGGAGTAACAATCAAGGACAATCTTTCTTGGGATATTCACATAGATACTATGTCTAAAAGAATATGCAAAACCCTAGGAGTTATAAGCAAAATTAAAAATAAATTAAATAAACCTACTCTAATTGACCTGTATTATTCGTTAATCTTTCCTCATCTCATCTACTGCAACGTAATTTGGGGAAACAGTCCTGACATTCATCTAAAACAGTTAACAAAATGCCAAAACCGATTCATCAGAATATTTAAAAATCTTCATCCTCATTGTCACACAAGTGAATATTATCTCGAAATGAAAATACTCAACATCAAAAACTTGTTCATCTACCACGTTGCAACATTCATTTTTAGATTTCTACGTCAGCAATTGCCGGCATTTTTTAGAAACTTTTTCACTTTTGGAACTTCCATTCAAGCAAGAACTACACGCCACACGCCACTTTTCTATGCCCCACCAGCCAGAATTAAAGTACTCTGCATGAGTTTGAAACACACCGGCCCAGGAATATGGGAGACGATTCCACAAGAAATTAAAGATTGTAACACTTTGCATCTTTTTAAAAATAAACTGAAAAATTTTTTAATTACGAAAAGTTCTGTTTTTCAAGGATAATAATGTATATGTATATATATGTATATAAGTGTGTACATATTTCATTAACATTGATACATTTTCTCCTATTGACAATTTTATTTTATCATTGAGAAGCAATTTTGAACTGCACGGTGGCCGAGCCCACAAGAATTAATTTTCTTTTTTTGGTCTCCGAATCATTCATGCTTTTGTTTTGTTTGATTGAATAAAAGTGATTTGATTTGATTTGATTATTATTATCATCATCACATACACGCACCGCATCCAATAACGTGTCAATGTATGCATCGCTATGAAATCACAAGCTGGCCACCGAACCAAACCATAAATAAATAAATAAATAATAACAACAACAATAACAACAACATCAACAACAGTAGCAACTGGCAATAACAACAGATAAATAATAATAATAAACGACAGCCACAAAAATCAAAACAATCACAACAGCGTACGTAAAAAAATCCATTTAAAAATATGGAAACATACAAAAAACACACACAGGCACACACACACGTAAGCACACGCACACAGACAAACATCAAGTACACCAACAAACAAACTCCAGCATACAAGTGCAAAGACATAAAGCGACATCATCATCTTAAACATGGACGTGAATTACAAGGTCTTGCGGAAATAGAGAAAAAAAAAAACAAAATGATAATTATAATTATTATAAATAGTTATTATAAATAATTATTATAAATAATTCAAATAATAATAACATGGATGACTATAATTAATAATTTGAATAATAATATAGTAAATTATTCATTTCTTTTGCAAAAATTCAACCTAAAATTCTCTGACAGCAAGGAGCTTTATTACGTTTAGACATTAAAAAAATTATCTTCAATAAATAATATTATTAATTATAATATTATAGTTATTATTATATTTTTTTTATTCGTAATTAACTCATTTATTTATTAAATAATTTAAAAAAACCAATATCAAATACCGCCAACGCACGGATATTAAATGCACCCTGAGATGTTGCCAGAATGAGTCTGCTTGTAAATAAATTGATAACAAGTGCTAGAATCTCTCTCTGTTTCTTCTCTTTCTCTCTCTCTCTCTCTCTCTCTTTATATCTTGATCTCTCCTTTATTCTCTCTCTCACTTTCTCTCTCTTTCTTTCTCTCTCTCTCTCTCTCTCTCTCTTTCTTTGTATGTATTCGAAGAGCTTTTTCAAACTGAACAGAACTGAGAAGGAAGGCTAATAATAAACGCAAAATTATTTAAGTCTAGCTAATCACAATCACACACACATAAACACACACACACACGCACGCACGCACACACGCACCGTAGAAGTTCTCAAACTTATAACAAGCACCTCCTAACTGAATACTTAATAATTCAACAGGTGAAAGAAAACATACACACGTACACACAAACATATACACACATCAAATACACACATACATACACACACAGATCTTTTGACGTAGCTATTGCTAAAAATGTGATGAAGACGACGACGACAATGATGAAATAAATTTTTTTTTGTCAAAAATTCTATTTAAATAAATTTTATTTTATTTATCTCTATTCTGCGTACGTACGTACAAAAATTTGCTCATGTTTTCTATCATTTATGATTTTGCACTTAAATACATGAAGCCTTATGTTTATGTGTGTGTGTGTGTGTGTGTTTGTATATGTGTGTGTATGTGCTTGTATGTGTGTGTATGTGTGTGAGAATGTATGTGAGCTTGTATGTGTGTGTGTGGGTGTGTTTGTGTGTGTGTGTATGTGTGTGAGTGTGTTTATTGTATTGTATTGTACCTCAAAAGACCCAAAAGTACAATTTAAAAACTTTTCCATCTCCTGTAGAGAATAATAATCTTTTTAATTAAGAATAAATTAATAAAATTCTTATAAATGAAAAATTTAATTAAAGTGCAAAATGTTAGAAAGAACATTGAAATGTAACGTAGAAAGGATGTTTCTTTTTCGGAGTTGTCGTCAACAAGGTGCATTAGCCATTCCATCAACAACACTAACATCAACAATAACATCAACAACAACATCAACAACAACAACATCATCAGCATCAACAATAACAACAAAAACATCAACAACAACACCAATAACAACAGCAACAAAATAATAGTTACAGTATAACAATGATGGGATGATGATGAAACACTCCAACAAACAACAACAACCAAAGATATAACAACAAAAAGCAAAATAACAACAAACAAATAAGAATAAAAAAAGCAAACCAATGATAAAATGATACAACTGTGATAATAATATTAATAATAATAACAAAGACTAAGAGCAATAACAACAACCTAAGATATAATAACAATAAAAATAATAAAATAAATTTCTCTAGCAAAATGGCTTTCCATAGTCTCTGGGAACCAACCAATCATCTTTATATCCTACGCGCCGCTTTACAGTCGCGCATGGAAATGGCGGGAACTATTTTTTCAACTTCCGGAACTACTTTTTAACGCGCGCATGAATACGTGCTTGCCTACTTTTGGCATCTCGCGAGAAAGATAAAATTTTGAGTGGGGGGTGGTTTTGAAACAAAAAATTTTTTTCCAAGTTGTTCTTAAATTTTCTCAACAAATTTCACTGAAATGACTCCCTTATCTTTGCTTCTTATTATTCTCGTATTTTCATATTCTTGCAAGAAAAAAAGATTTAAAATAATTATAAAATTATTGTGGAATAAAATAAATAATATATGACCTCGTGTACTTTTTTAGCCATGTTCTTGAAAAAAAAAATTTAAAAAACAACAAAAACCTTCTGAGATGATTTCGGTCATGATTATGATACTGGTAATGATGGTGATGATGCTGGTGGTTATGATGACGATGTTGAGGATGGCGTAAGTGACGTTAACCGTTCACAAACGATTAGAGTGATGACGTCAAGAAAAAACGTGCCGACATGTATATAAGTATGTGTGTATGTGTGTGTGTGTGTGTATGTGTGTGTGTGTGTGTGTGTGTGTGTGTGTGTGTGTGGGTATGTATGTATGTGTGTATATATGTGTGTGTGTATTTAGGTGTGTGTGTGTGTGTATATGTGTGTGTATGTATGTTTGTGTGTGCGTGTATGTATGTATCACTGAACCAATGTGTATTCGTCAGGTCTGTAGTTACCATTTTCAAGCAGCTCAACTGGATCCTTTATTATTGGAATGGCAGCTCTTCGAAAAACTCTGACCAAAAAATTCATTCATAGCAGAGCGTCTGGCTAACCTTCCTCATTCCAACCAGCAAGACATTCCATGATAATCCAGCCGACAGGAGTTATAGTTTGCCATAAAACATCCTCTTCTTTCTTATCCTTATCATCATCTTCATCCTTCACTCTGACTAAAAAAATTCATTCTTCCCAAAAATGTAGTGGCACGAAATCATTTCAAACTTGTAGAAGAACTTTTTAAATATTCAATTATTTTTATTCAATTTGTATTCGCATTTGTTTCATTCATTTATTTATTTTCATTCCTTTACTTCTATTCGCTCGTTCCTTCAGTTCTTCCCTCAAACAATCAGTATTCATTCATTTAATCGGTCATTCATTCATTCATTCACTCGTTTGTTCATTCAAACGCTCTTTGTGTTTTGTTGATGTTATTGTTGATTATGTTTTTTCAGCGTTATGGATAATAATAATCGCACGGCCATTTAAAAACAACCACCATTCTTACCGACTATATTACCGAGATTACTAAAAACCGTTGAAACCGTTTTTAACCGCTCTGTTATCCGCTTGGCCATACACAAATTTGTTCTAAGCCTCCAAACGATGGAGTGATTCGCCAGTCACTATCTGTCTAACATAAAAGAAAAATTTTTCGGAACTGAAATAGTGTGTGTTTATGTGTATGTGTATGGAGTGTGTACATGTGTATTTGTGTGCGTGAGTGTATGTGTGTTTGTGTGTGTTTATGGAGTGTGTACATGTGTATTTGTGTGCGTGAGTGTATGTGTGTTTGTGTGTGTTTATGGAGTGTGTACATGTGTGTTTGTGTGCGTGAGGGTATGTGTGTTTGTGTGTGTATAGTGTGTGTATGTCTTTATCAGATAATTTGTGTGTGTGTGTTTGTTGGCCGAGGCACACCTTTTTATCGGTGTGTTTTTCTGTTTGTCTGTCTGTCTCTGTTTGTTTGCTATTATGTTTCCTGGCGTGTGTGTTTATTTTTTAGTTGATGTGTGTGTATGTGTGTAATGAGTGTGGCGTGTGTGTGTGTGTGTGTGTCAGATGAATATGCACAAGTGTTCTCTTAATGGCTTTACAAAAAATCATTTTCATTTTAAACTTCCCCATAATTCTATTATCGTTAATTTACTGGATGTGCTCCGTCAAGCCTCATGGTTTTTGGGTTCTTTTCATCTATTTTTCAACTTTTACTACTGTTTCAGTTTCTCTTATGTTCTCTTTCTCTTTCCAATGTCTTCTCACTCCATTTTTCTTCTTTCTTCGTGTTTATTCTTCCTCATTGCCATTACACCAGCTATATTTCAATTTCTTACTTTCTCTCTCTCTCTCTCTCTTTCTCTTTTTATGTGTGTGCAGATTATTTCCTCCAGACATCATTTTACGTAAAGAAGGTAAAATTTTGAGTTAAATTTTTGAAAATTTCTTCAACGTCATTGTTTTATTCATTTATTTTTGTTTTCTAAGCAAAACACAAATAGGTAAATAAACGCATGAACAAAAATAAAAATTACAAAATAGAAGTTTAGATTAACATTTAACGTTTGCCAAAATAATTTTGACAATAAAATGAACACGTTATCAAGCTTCTTGTCCAAATTTCAACTTACAACAGTTATCATCTCCCTGATTGTAGTCCATACCTCAGCGAACAGCAACAAAACTTCGGATGACATTAAAGATCTAGGATCATACGTTGGCTGCTTTCGCTACGTGACATCAACTAATGACCTCATATTTCCTTCCACTCTTAAAAGTTATTGCATCTCACGATGTCGACTCGCAAACCTTAACCTAATAGCCGTGTCTAAGTTTAATGCTTGCCAGTGCGTCCAGACGTTGGGGCCCGCGGTATCTTCTGCTCTGTGCAATTATATCTGCCAGGCTGATCAATCTTGTCTATCCACAAACTATTATTTCGTTTATAGGATCGGGCCTCAAAAGATACACCACGCGTATTATTGTACTAACGATAAGATGAATACGTTCGATGTACAAGTACCAGCACAAACCTCTCTTGAAACGTGCGCACACATCTGCTTGGAGCTGAACTACACATTCTTGCAAACACTCCGCAAAGAAGTCTGTAGCTGCATCAAGACTCTCGAATACGGAATCTTCCACAGGACAAAACTGACTTGTAACGAACTGGTTGAAAACTCATTAGAGATAAAAAATTGTCACTATACAGAGCATGAAAACAAAACGACTATCTACACGACACGTTTCAGTTACGATTTTCAACGAGGTGTCTCGAGTTATTCGCACTGCAAGAATAAAAAATACGAGATAGCAGAAAAATGTGCGGACGGGTGCAGCGAGGGTTGGATGGGAGATTCATGCAGGAATAGAGATTGCAGGCAGAACAATGGAGATTGTGGCAGTGAGATGAAATGTGTTGAAGTTGTCGTTAACAATCAGACGTACGTTGAGTGTGTCTGTCCGTACGGCACGGTTAGAACCAGATGGGATGTATGCGAAGTTTTCAAATTTAATTTAGTTGAATCCGACTCCTGCTCTCTCAGTTCAACATTCTATGATAGAGCTCGCAATATTAGCATGGAGGCGACATATTTGTCCGACCACTCAATTGATGGCTACACTGCAGCACAAATTAACGACAACATCGCCGCGTGGATCGCCGTTACTTTCCAGAAATTGTATGCAATTGGATTCGTGAAAGTTTATGGAAAGCTCTGCCAAGATGAAAAAGACTGCAGTCGTCTCAATAATTTCCTAGTTAAACTCAGTACATTATATGAATTTGACAATGATTCCGACATAAGAAGCTTGCTGGAATTATGTGGGAAGGGACCGGATCATGCTGTCCAAGCTGGGACTCCAATGACAGTCGTCTGCAAAAATTTCACCTTGCTTTCCAGGAGTCTTATCATTCAACAATCAAATGAAAAATTTTCATTGGGAAATTCAGCAATAGCAGAATTAGAAGTCTTCGAAGTCGGCTGCGATACACTGAACGGAAGATGCAAAGAGGATCAAAAATGCACAGAAGAGAAGATGCACGATGCAACGGTCACAAAATGCACAGATCTGAACGATTTACGCTCTGCTGTAGCTCCATTTTATGGATGTTTCAGATGGTTGTTGACGCAATATCACCTCAATCGCTACGGTTTGTCTTACCAGGAGTGCCAAGATGAGTGCAGAGCAAGGAAGTTCGACGTAGCCGCGGTGAAGGCTGGTATAAATTGTTCGTGTGGCAACCAAGTAACAGTCGGCGATGAAGCGCCGATGGATGATTGCAGAAAGCAGCACTATCTTGCTTATTATATCTACCACGACTGTAAAGTAAATCAGTTTTGCGGTGCCACCACCAAAACCAACACATCCGTCAATGCAAATACTACGGCGACCACCGCAGAACCTGACGTCATCAGTAAAACGGAATCTACCGACATGAATAAAAAATTTAAAGACAACAATAATACCAAATTAATAATCATTGTAGTCCTATCGCTGGCAATAATCTTAACGACAATCGGCGCGGTGGTGCTCCTTAGATCGAGATTCCTGAGAGACAAGCGTGGAGTTGTCATCGCTACCATTCTTGACAGACACCGTCATAACGCTGCAGCGGACAAGCCAGCGCCACTTTCTACCAGAATTATAAATGACATATTGAAAAAGTCTGGCAGAGGGGTAGAAAAAGGATCATCTATAAATGACTCGGTAGCGAGTACAGCTAGTACATATGTCTCTGAGCCCAGTGGTGTTAATACCGGAGATACTACAACTGCTGCCTGGAGGTGCTGGATGTGGTGGAAGCGTTGAAATGGTTGGAAGTGCTACTCAACGGACCAGTTAACCGTTCAGAATCTTTAAACAATCTGTAGGCAATTATTTATAGATACCTATGTCTTTGAAGGATGCCAGTTTGAAAATTATTCAAATAGAAACTTGATCTATTTTATTTTTTACAGTCTGCTTTTACCATCAGCGGTAGTTTTTGCTCATATGTTGAAAAGGTGACAAATTTTAAAAAAATACAAACTGCTTCTATTTCGAATTGTTCTCAAATAAATAAATAGCTGAATGAATGAACGAATGAACGAACAAATAAATAAATGATAAACAAAGAGAATGAGGGATGAATGAAGGGACGGATTGAAAAAAAAACAATTGAAACAACTGAATGGTTGGTATACGAGGGATAAACAATTATTTTAGCGACAGATGACCTCAAGATGATATCAGAAATCATAGAGAACAAAAAATTTATCACTACCACCTACGTACAAAATGCTTTCGTTTCAGTTCTCTCTCTCTCTCTCTCTCTCTCTCTCTCTCTCTCTCTCTCTATCTATCTATCTATCTATCTATCTTTCTCTCTTTTATTCTTTTGTATACATTCAGAATATTATATTTTCGCATTTTTTTTGGTTATCTTGATTGAGTAAGCCTAATAATCAAGTTCGTGACTTTGCCGTACAGCGTTAATAAAAATGTTTATTATGTCTCTGTTCATTTGGTCGTTCATTCGTTGATAAATTCATTCGTTTATTCATTCATTCGTTCAATCATCTACCCATCCATCCATTTATCCATCCATCCATCCATTTATCCATTCATCCATCCGTCAATCCATTCATTCATCCATTCTTATTTCTCTAAATTTTTATGAAGATTATTTATTACAAGCCATGTATGTAGGTTGCACGTCAGGTCAGCATGTCAGTACGTAGAGCATATATTACCAAAGATCTTTGTCGATAACAGGAGAGAAAGAAAGAAAGAGAGAGAAAGAGAGAGAGAGACAGGGAAAACGAAGGAGAGAAAAGTGGGAGAAAGAGAGAAAAATGAGTGATAAGGAGTGAGAAAAAAGCAGACTGTGTCGCTTTGTTATTGTTGTTGATGTTAATGTGAACTGTGAATGAAAAAAAAGTAAAGTGGAAGAAAGAGAGAGAGAGAGAGAGAGAAAAAGAAAGAGAGAGAAAGAGAGAAAGTAACCCAGTTATATTTGTTGTCCTCTCGCTCTTTGAGATGATGTTATTAGTAATGATGTTTTCATAGTCACTGTTTGTATTTTTTCTCTATGTATGTTTGTTTCTACGATTGTATGTTTGTATATACGTTTTTACATTTGTTTATACGTTTGTATGTATGTTTGTATGTATGTTTGTATGTATATTTGTATGTGTGTATATTGTATGCATGTATGCATGTTTGTTAGTCAAAAAACATATTACTGGGTAACAGATGTTAAATGACTTTGATTGATATAACTGTATGCAACTTATGCACACAAACATACATACACACATACATACATACATACATACATGCATGCATACATACATACATGCATGCATACATACACACATACATACATACATACATACATACATACATACATACATACATACATACATACATACATACATACATACATACAATCAATGATCATTATTATTGCGGCATTGATCCAATACGAAAAAAACATACAACAGCTTGAACCTTCACGGTAAAATTCTTAAACGTAATCATTATCATAATCAAAAAAATAGAACAACAAAATCATCACCATCATCTTCATCATCGTCATATTTTCACCATCATCGTCGTCACCATCGTCATCTTCATCGTTATCATCACAATCTTCATCTTTTTCTTCTTCATCATCACCATCATCTTCATCACCATCATAATCACTAGCGCCATCACCAATTTTTTTCTTGTCAGCAAAAAATGATAAAAAAAATGACCAAAAAAGATGATCATTATCATCCGATTATACAGGCGTCGAGGATGATGATGATTGTTATTATTATTATTATTATTATTATTATTATGATATGCCAATCAGTGGCTGTGTTGCAGAACTAAATTCGCTGCCAGCAAAGATGGTAGGCCATAATATTATGTCCTTAAAAGATACCGCAGAGAAAACGAGATTGAAGCTGCGAAACTATTTTAAAACCAACCAAAACAAAAAAATTCAATGTTTGTACAAAGAATCAACAGTCAATCACATCAAAGTTGACAGTATCCTTTCAAAATCAAATGCCCTAAAATCATCGCTCAAACAGCTGGAAAATGAAAGAGTTGAATCATGTTGAAGCACGTTCTTTCGCTTGTGAGTCAGGGCACAATTATCTCTAAAATAAAAACCGTCATCAAAACTAATAATATTTACCATTGGTTAAAAACTCTAGAAAATCTTGCTGGAGTCCTCTTCAAATTTGCCAGGACATATTTGGTACAGCAACTGCCAACAAACGCCAATTTGTTTAAATGGGGCAAAACTTCTCTGTGTCCTTTCTGCGGTTGTAAACAAACAAAAAAACATGTGATTTCTGACTGCGGTTCCACATCGCACTTAAAAGATACACTGAAAGGCATAATATAATTTTGGCCGCGATCACCAACCGATTGAAACAGTGGTGCCTGCCTAGTGTCGGTTGTTTGCAGATTTGAAAATTGACGGTGTTCACCCTATATCAGATCTGTTCAACACTCTACGACCTGACATTGCCATCCTACTAGGCAACACAGTAGAGATCTTAGAGTTAACGGTCTGTCATGAAACAAATCTTGAATCATCCAGGCAATGCAAGATCAAAAAATATTCAGATAATTTGCACAGTAATCTAAATGACAACTATAAACACTGCACAATAATTACAAATACTTTTGAAATATCACCAATAGGTTTTTATAATAATTTTAATCTTTCACTTTATAAAAATTTGTGGCCGGATTCTTTCAACGATGAATTGATAGAGACTGTTATAAAGCTATCGTATGGCATATATTGTGACAGAAACAATTTGTGATATATATATATATATATAAATACTTCACCACTATGTACATTTTCTAAAAATGAGCATTGTGGCAATAATTGACATTTTATTACATTATTGTGACATTTCATTATTTTATTTTCATAATTATTTAGTGTCTTTGCTTTGAAATAAAAGAGTTCGCATTATCATTATTATTATTATTATTGTTATAATTATTGCTATAATTATTACATTAATTATTACTATAATAATAATTATTATTATTATTATTGAGTTTTTCAGAGTCTCGCCAATAAATCGGATTCTGTTTTTTTTTCTAAATCAAGTCAGTCACGAACGCATGTTTGTTGGTCGAACAACCTCCACAAGTCATGTACTTACTAATGATGAATCTATTTAGCGAACGAAACCAAATATTCATGTATAAATTATTTTTTTATAAAACTGAAAAATTCCAGTAAAAATAAAAATATTTCACGAAAGATGACATAAGAATTGAACGTACAAAAAACTAAACAGACAGAATAAAATTTAGACATATATTACAAAACTGCTAAGCGTTCATAACTGGTTGATTAGTTGGTTTTGTTGATGGGTTCTGATTGAACTTTTTTTTTTCTATACATAGAGTTATATTGCTTCAGTACTATTCACACTCAAACTATTTCTTGATGATCTACCTTCTTTGCTGCTTGAAATCGTTGCGCTTCTGCCTGAGGTTTCGCTTGTTCTTCTTGGTATCACACGTTTAAACTTCAGTTCTCTAACTAAAAGAGCTAGCATGAAGAGGAAGGTGATGGGGGTCACACCTGACGCGATGACCAAATATTTGTTGTAAGAATCGTAAAGCTGCGTTTGCAATGATGTGATGTCTGTGAGTTCGTCGGAAGGATTGATGATGACGATGGTTTCTAAAGTCTCAGTAGAATTTGTATCATAAATGTCATGTTTGGTAGCTTTGGAAGTTGTTGTAATGATGTTTAAAGTTCCATTGACTTTATTGCAAAAATAATCTTGCATGTCACAGTCATCAAATATAAGGTTGGATCTGTAATGGCCTTTCTTGCAATCTTCCACTGGGATGTTACCAGCTATGTTCAAACTACTGCCGCAATAACATTTGAAACCTGCTTGCATCACTGCTAAACTCTTTGACATTAAAGTGCAGGCATCTTTACATTGCATGTACGACAAACCAGCTCTATTGTAGTGAAGGTCACCTGACACTTTCAAATAACATCCGTAAAATGAGTTTGTTACAGCTTGTTCATCAGTCCAACTACTGCAGCTGACAACGTGTGCGTCTCCATCTTTCGATTCAGTGCACCTTTGTTCACATCTTCCGTTCAAGACACCGCAACTAACTTCATAAGCTTCCAACTCTGCTATTATAGGATTTACTGTCCCAATCTTTTCCTCTGACTGCAGCAAAACAACAAGTCTTGAACGATATGTAAAATCTTTACAGATAACATTCATGGGATTACCAGCTTGTATGGCTTTGTCAGGTCCATAGCCGCATGTTTCTGGAAGATTTCTTGCATCGTCTGATGGACCGAGTTTAACCACAAACTTATCTAGTTGACTGCAATCAATTTCATTTTCACATAGCCTCCCGTAAATTCTAATATATCCAATGGAATAAAGACTGTGGAAAACAACGCTTATTGTATTTTGATTGCTGCTATTATGCATAAAGTAACCGTTATATAATCCGTTATTTGGGTCGCAGATGAAGCAAGTGTAAACTAAACAATTCAAAAAATCTGCTTGACTTAGAGCCACGTTCTCCCTAAACACCTCGCACAAGTCCCACTTGTTTCTTACGGTGCCCAATGGGCAGACGCATTCAACGTACTTATTACCATTGACCGTGGACTCAATACATTTCATCTCGTCACCACAGTCACCATTGTTCCTCGTACAATCTCTTTCTCTGCACGAATCTCCCTTCCAGCCTTCACTACAACCTTCTGGACACCTTTCTTCTATTTCATAGTTTATGGATTTGCAGTGAGAGAAAGTTGATACTCCTCTCTGGAATTCGTAAAATAAACGCGTTGAAAATATGGTCGGCAGATCTCTAAGAGATTCAAAATAATATTCACAAATTTCTGCTTCACTTTTGGAGCATAATTCAGCGCGGAAGCTTTCATCGCCTGAGCGAAAAAAAAGTCCATAATTGACCTCCTGGAAACAGTCGCATTTATTATGAAATATTGTCTTCCTAAAGAATGTCATGTTCATTTCCAAACAGAAATGTGCACACATTTCAAGGCTATCCAGATTGTCAAAATTTCGTGAATATATGGCGGTCTCTGACTTATCCGGATACACATGGCAATAATATATATCGTGTTCCTGACGTGGTTGAATTTTATAAACAGAATAAAACTCAACCCCACCGCATGAGAAGTTCTTACAAAACATGTTGCACCGCCAGGAAGCCACTGCCGAACTGACCCCGCTTACGCAGTGACATTCGCGGCCGTTCTTCAAGCCGATCATGTTATTAAATGGATTCGTAAACTTGCAATTGGCAGCACAATCTTCGACATCATCATGAATTTCGAATAAAGGTGATCGAACCCATTGAAAGCAGCCGATGTAGTCATATTTTTGGCCATAAGCTTTGGTTAAAGTTAAGTTTGTTTGCAACAAAATAAGGACAAAGTTGCAACAAAGTTTCATTTTCAGTATATTTTTATTAATTATATACGCAGTGACATTCGCGGATGTCTTCCAAGCCGATCATGTTCAAATACCGATATAAATACGTGCAATTTGTAACACAATCTTCAAGGTTATGCTGAACTTAGAAGTTATGGGATACAACGCTTTGGAAGCAGCCGATGTAGTTATTTTTCAGGTCATATGCCTTTGTTAAAATAGAGTTGGTTAGTAAGAGAAGAAGGACAGCGTTACAAAGATCTTTCATTGTACTTACGGTTTTAAGTACTTGTGTATTTATTATTTATAACAGTTGACATTTAAATATTTTCAACATTGTTGATGTTTGTTGTTTATTTAAAACCAGTGACGTCACTACCAAAACAACGATTATATGAAATCTGCATTCTTATTTATTTCAGCGTTTCTTTGGTCCGCTTAAATAAAAGCCTTGAAACCATTCAATAAAGCCTTCTACCTATATTTTTCAATATATCATATTTTGTCTTCTCTCTTTTTCTTTCTTTCCTCTCTCTTTCTCTCTCTCTTTCTCTGATTTGATTTTTTTCGTTCTCTCTTTCTTTCTACATTTCGGTCTCTATTCTTTTATTCTCACTGTATCCTTCGCTGTTTCATTTTTTCCAATCACGCGCACACAAACACACACACGCGTACGCACGCACGCACACGCTCACGCAAATGTTAAAAATACCAAAATACCAAACAACAAACGCCGCTTGGCCCAGTAGAATTCTGGATGGGTAGGTACCTAGTAAAAAAATAATGTTTAAAAGCATCGAAAGCTAGGCTGCAATCATGATATGGCCTCGTTATGGCCCAATGGTTAAATGGCAGTGGTTAAAGAAGGAATGACTTTTAAACTTTTATAAACCATTCAGTCTGCAAACTGATTGAATCGAATCCAAATTTGGCGTCACGATATCTGTTATTATAATTGTAGACGTTCGAATGGATCAGCTTGTTTAAATAGATCGGTAAACTCTGACCACCATAGCGACGCTCAGAGATGGGCGGTAATGTAATTCAAGTAATGAAATTGCGTAATTCAAATTATCGAAATTAATTTTTAAGTAATTGGTAATTTGTAATTTAGTAATTTCAGATGATTATGATGATGATGAGGAAGAAGAAGATGCTGATTATGATGATGAAGAAGAAAAAGAAGGAGATGATGATGATGATGATGATGATGAGGTTACTTGGTAATTTCAAAGTAATTTCAAATTACATTTTGACTAAACAATATAGTTTATATATACTTACACAAATTATTATTATTATTATTACTGAAAAATTTTTTTTCTCGAAACTCTTAAAATTTTTTACTTCTTTGATGTTTGACGCTTAATTTTTCTTTCTTTCTTTCTTTTTTTTTTCTTCTTTCTTTTCTTCTTTCTTTTCTTCTTTCTTTCTTTCCTTTTTTCTTTAGTCGTTCATTAAACGATTGAACAAATTGTTGATCGAAAGAAAGGAGATTAATAAAAGAATATGAAAATGACATCAAAGAATGTGCAAAATAGTGTCTTTCTTTTTTCAGTCAATCGTTAAATGATTGAACAGATTGTTGATAGAAAGAAAGTAACTTAATAAACGAATATAAAAATTACATCAAAGAATATCGGCGCTAAGAAAAATCAACGGTTAAATAACTTCAAAGAAAATTTTTCTCTTCCTTCATTCAAAACTGGTTCGATGTATTGATAATTTAATTTCATGTAATTTGAAATTAGTAATTTGTAATTATTAATTTGGCTCTTTTATTAAAATTGGTACTAAAATTACAATATTTAGAGTATTTTGTATCGATATTACAATATAGTGTGTAATTTGCCCGTCTCTGGCGACGCTGCCAGTTGTTGTTGTGGTTGCTGTGGTTGTTGTGGTTGTTGTGGTTGTTGTGGTTGCTGTGTTTGATGTGATTGTTGTAATTGGAGTAGTTGTTAGGAATGAATGAATGAATGAATGAATGAATGAATGAATGAATGAATGAATGAATGAATGAATGAATGAATGAATGAATGAACGAACGAACAAACATGCATTAGGAAGACATGCAAACAACTGAAACATGTTATCAAAAAGCCTAAAAGTTTATGAAAATAAAAAACATGAGTAAGAAGGAACATGTAAAACTACCGTTATTGTAATAATGATGATAGCGAGCGTTTGCGAACGTAATCCAGAAGAAAATGATGATCGATGTATTGGTTATAGTTGTTGTTGCTTTAGGTTTTGATAATGATGTTCTTGTTGAGGCTTTTGTTGTTGTTGTTGCAAATTCTGTCGTTGATGTTGTTGAAGTTGGTGTTGTTGCTGTTGATGATGATGATGATGTTGTCGATGGCGAGAACGATGTTGTGTTTGTTGTTTTTGATACAATTCCGATTGATTTTGATGCAGTTGTTGTTGATGTTATTAAAGCTGATGTTGTTGTCGTCGTCGTTGTTGTTGATGTTGTTGTTGTTGTTGATGTTGCTGATGTTGTTGTTGTACGCTGTTGATAGCACTTTTCAGATAAAATATTCTCGATATAAAGCATCATTTTGGCGGGATTTTTCAATTTAGTTAAATTCAATTTTTTATTTATCACCTAAAAATAAAAATTTAATCAATATAATGCTTATAAAAATTAAAAATTAAAATGTGTGTGTGTGTGTGTGTGTGTGTGTGGTGTAATGATATGTTGTTCTGTGCGTATTATATACGTGCACACACGACAAATTCATACACACATAGATACGTACATAACATGCAAACAAACACATAGAAACACACCAATACATATATATCCAAGGCAAACAGACATAGCAACAATTGGCTTTCCATTTCATTTAAATAAATTCCGGAAGTTCTGTAAGAGATCACGTTACGTGACGTGGGAAAATGTCCCTATTTCCGTTCCACGTACTAATGATGGTATTGTTCGTCAAATTAAAAAAAGCCATGCACGCACATATTGCTGTATATGTATTTTTTTCTTCTTGACTTCTCTCTCTTTCTTTTTTTTCTTTTATATATATATATATATATATATATATATATATATATATATATATATGTTTATTTATTTATTCATTCGTTCATTCATTTATTGCTTATATTACATGTATTTCCGTTTATTCGTTCAAATACATTGTCACTGCATTGCACTCCTTGCATAATTTTCCTTCATTCTTTCAATTTATTCATTCGTTCGTTCGTTCATTTATTATTTCATTAATTGATTGATTGATTCATTCATTCATTCGTTCAGTCATTCGTTCTTCTATTAACTCATCCACATTTCTATCATTCATTGGTCTTCGTTATTATCACACTGCATATATTACAAAATGACCATCATGATAGCTACAATCTTTTGTATATGGCACGTTTTGCTGATGTATGCATGTATGTTTGTATGTATGTATGTTTGTATGTATGTATGTATATGTGTGTGTATGTATATGTATCTTTTGACAATAATAATAATAATAATGATAATAATAATAATATATGTGTGTGTGTTTTTGTATGTTTGTATGTGTGTCTGTCTGTCTGATTGTCTGTATATGTATAGCGTTATTTTTGTTGATGTTGTTATTTTAAGCTTACGTTCATTACAGCTGTCTATTTTTATTACTATTATTGTTGATGTTGTTGTTGTTGGTGATGCTATTGTTGTTGATGATTTATTAGTGTGTTCTTTCTTGAGCAGAGTGTATAGATTCCAAGATGATGATGATGATGATGAGGAGGAGGAGGAGGAGGAGGATGATGATGATGATAGTTTCAATGATGATGGTGATGATGATGATGGTGATGAGGACGATGATGATGATCTGATATTAGCCGGACAAAATTATTATTTCAAAATAATTAGTAACTTACGTAATCATCAGCATTCATCTTCTAATTATTTATTTTGTCATTATTATTTCTATAATTATATCATAACCGGGAAATATTTTTAGTTTTTTTTTTACATTTGACCTAGATTATGACGTCATAATTCAATTTTTCATCTCCTACCTTCGTACAGGCAAGTAAAATGTTATGCGATCAACAAAAACACTTTTGAAAACATTAAATTTTAATATTATTATTATTATTATAACTATAATTTTATTTAATAATAACAACGATAGTATAATTATTTTATTATATTACATTATAATTATACGGAGTTAATTATTCTTAAATTACGCAGATCGACAATCGCCACGACCTTTTATATAAGAATGGCCACGTTAAAACGAGAGAGCGAGAGAGACAGAAAAAGAGAGAGATGTATGTGCATATATATATATATATATGCATATATATATATATATATATATTTATATGCGTATGTTTATGCATGTGCATATATATATATATATATTGCGTATTAAAATATATATATATATATATATATATTTATATGCGTATGTTTATGCATGTGCATATATATATATATATATTGCGTATTAAAATATATATATATATATATATGCGTATGTTTATGCATGTGCATATATATATATATATATATTGCGTATTAAAATATATATATATATATATATGCGTATATTTATGTGTGTTTCCTTGTGCATGCATGGTATAAACTACTCTATAGATGTGTCAATATTGCACTTAAAACATAAAGGTATATTTATTTATAATTATTTTATTTTATTTTTATTTATTATATGCATATATTGACCTATAAAGTCAGTGTCATACAACGAATATATGTGTTTGTAAATCCAGTAGTTTGGCTAGTCACCTTAGGGAGCATGCAAATAGTAGAATATAAATACTAGGTGTTAGTAATTTATCTAGTAATACGAAAATGCTAAGAGTGGCCTCAGATAACTGTAGTTGTGGCATGGAAGTAGAAGAAGCTTCTGCAGCAGTTGTGGTAGTAGCGTTCGTATTGGGTGGGTGATCGGTGGTTTGGCTGTTTACATGAAATTGAACATAAGATGAATTATTTTTCAATTTATATATATACATATTAAAATTATGTTAAACATATA